ATCTATGTTTGGCTGTCATTGAGGACAGATATGACGATCTACGTTTGGCTGTCATTGAGGACAGATATGGCGATCTACGTTTGGCTGTCATTGAGGACAGATATGACGATCTACGTTTGGCTGTCATTGAGGACAGATATGACGATCTATGTTTGGCTGTCATTGAGGACAGATATGACGATCTACGTTTGGCTGTCATTGAGGACAGATATGACGATCTATGTTTGGCTGTCATTGAGGATAGATATGTCGATCTACGTTTGGCTGTCATTGAGGACAGATATGACGATCTACGTTTAGCTGTCATTGAGGACAGATATGACGATCTACGTTTGGCTGTCATTGAGGACAGATATGCCAATCTACGTTTGGCTGTAATTGAGGACAGATATGACGATCTACGTTTGGCTGTCATTGAGGACAGATATGACGATCTACGTTTGGCTGTCATTGAGGACAGATATGACGATCTATGTTTATCTGTCATTGAGGACAGATATGACGATCTATGTTTGGCTGTCATTGAGGACAGATATGACGATCTACGTTTGGCTGTCATTGAGGACAGATATGCCAATCTACGTTTGGCTGTCATTGAGGACAGATATGACGATCTACGTTTGGCTGTCATTGAGGACAGATATGACGATCTACGTTTGGCTGTCATTGAGGACAGATATGACGATCTATGTTTGGCTGTCATTGAGGACAGATATGACGATCTACGTTTGGCTGTCATTGAGGACAGATATGGCGATCTACGTTTGGCTGTCATTGAGGACAGATATGCCAATCTACGTTTGGCTGTCATTGAGGACAGATATGACGATCTACGTTTGGCTGTCATTGAGGACAGATATGACGATCTATGTTTGGCTGTCATTGAGGACAGATATGACGATCTATGTTTGGCTGTCATTGAGGACAGATATGCCAATCTACGTTTGGCTGTCATTGAGGACAGATATGACGATCTACGTTTGGCTGTCATTGAGGACAGATATGACGATCTATGTTTGGCTGTCATTGAGGACAGATATGACGATCTATGTTTGGCTGTCATTGAGGACAGATATGCCAATCTACGTTTGGCTGTCATTGAGGACAGATATGACGATCTACGTTTGGCTGTCATTGAGGACAGATATGACGATCTATGTTTGGCTGTCATTGAGGACAGATATGCCAATCTACGTTTGGCTGTCATTGAGGACAGATATGACGATCTACGTTTGGCTGTCATTGAGGACAGATATGACGATCTATGTTTGGCTGTCATTGAGGACAGATATGACGATCTATGTTTGGCTGTCATTGAGGACAGATATGCCAATCTACGTTTGGCTGTCATCGAGGACAGATATGACGATCTACGTTTGGCTGTCATTGAGGACAGATATGACGATCTACGTTTGGCTGTCATTGAGGACAGATATGCCAATCTACGTTTGGCTGTCATTGAGGACAGATATGCCAATCTACGTTTGGCTGTCATTGAGGACAGATATGACGATCTACGTTTGGCTGTCATTGAGGACAGATATGAAAATCTACGTTTGGCTGTCATTGAGGACAGATATGACGATCTACGTTTGGCTGTCATTGAGGACAGATATGACGATCTATGTTTGGCTGTCATTGAGGACAGATATGACGATCTACGTTTGGCTGTCATTGAGGACAGATATGACGATCTATGTTTGGCTGTCATTGAGGACAGATATGACGATCTACGTTTGGCTGTCATTGAGGACAGATATGACGATCTATGTTTGGCTGTCATTGAGGACAGATATGACGATCTACGTTTGGCTGTCATTGAGGACAGATATGACGATCTATGTTTGGCTGTCATTGAGGACAGATATGACGATCTATGTTTGGCTGTCATTGAGGACAGATATGACGATCTATGTTTGGCTGTCATTGAGGACAGATATGACGATCTACGTTTGGCTGTCATTGAGGACAGATATGACGATCTATGTTTGGCTGTCATTGAGGACAGATATGACGATCTATGTTTGGCTGTCATTGAGGACAGATATGACGATCTATGTTTGGCTGTCATTGAGGACAGATATGACGATCTATGTTTGGCTGTCATTGAGGACAGATATGACGATCTATGTTTGGCTGTCATTGAGGACAGATATGACGATCTACGTTTGGCTGTCATTGAGGACAGATATGACGATCTATATTTGGCTGTCATTGAGGACAGATATGACGATCTATGTTTGGCTGTCATTGAGGACAGATATGACGATCTATGTTTGGCTGTCATTGAGGACAGATATGACGATCTATGTTTGGCTGTCATTGAGGACAGATATGACGATCTATGTTTGGCTGTCATTGAGGACAGATATGACGATCTACGTTTGGCTGTCATTGAGGACAGATATGACGATCTATGTTTGGCTGTCATTGAGGACAGATATGACGATCTATGTTTGGCTGTCATTGAGGACAGATATGACGATCTATGTTTGGCTGTCATTGAGGACAGATATGACGATCTATGTTTGGCTGTCATTGAGGACAGATATGACGATCTATGTTTGGCTGTCATTGAGGACAGATATGACGATCTATGTTTGGCTGTCATTGAGGACAGATATGACGATCTATGTCTGGCTGTCATTGAGGACAGATATGACGATCTATGTTTGGCTGTCATTGAGGACAGATATGACGATCTATGTTTGGCTGTCATTGAGGACAGATATGACGATCTATGTTTGGCTGTCATTGAGGACAGATATGACGATCTATATGGAACTGTATGCTGGGTCTGATATGACTGTCTATATAGAACTGAAGCGTAGGGGACAAATGTGACGATCTATATTGATCTGTAAGCGTGGGACAAATGTGACGATCTATATTGATCTGTAAGCTTGGGACAAATGTGACGATCTATATTGATCTGTAAGCTTGGGACAAATGTGAAGATCCACATGGGGCCGTAGGCTGGGGCAAAATATGACAATCTATATGGATCTGTAGGCGTGGGTCAGATGTGAAGATCTATATGGATCTGTAGTCTGGGGACAGATGTGACGATCTTTATGGATCTGTTAGCTAGAGACAGATATAACGATCTATATGGATCTGTAGACTTGGAACAGATGTGACGATCTATATGGATCTGTAGGCTGAATTGTTTGGAGGCACACAATGCAAATCAATAGCAAAAGGACGTAAGAAGAATAGTTTTCGACAGCACACAATAGCACTGGATTACACACACAACACAACAACAAAGTGACGATATTTCGCATCAGCGAAATTCAAAAAGAAAATTTCCGCTAACTTCTCACGGTCTCTCCGACCCTGAAGTTGCATTGAAAGATTCTTTTATAAACATTTACCTCTGAATGAAAAACTTGTAACCATACATAAACTGACATGCTTGTGGGTAGGTGCTGCATCATACTCAGTTTACATCCAAATTAAAGATGCCCCTTCAAGGATCTGTTGAGGATGTGGATTTCGTTACACCACGCTAGGCCACCCAAAAAAAAAAAAACGATTTAAAAAACCGATGCCCCGACCACTCACACCACCTTATTTGAAACGAAGGCAACACACGGTGAACCCGAAACCTCTCCACAGATATAAAAAGAGGCCACAGTTAAAAGTGGCTCATCCTTATGTGAAGCATCACCAGGATAAACAGACAGCCATACCTACAAGAGCCAAGCCAAACGCTGCCTGCCTGAGTGAGTTCTACTCGCCAAACAGAGATCCCAGCTCCCGTGAAGATGAGTCTCTTAGTTCTCCAGAATCGTCTCCCACGACAATTTATTCTCTAGCAGATACATCAGAAAGTGACTGTCCTGGTTCTGCTAGTGAGGAAATGTGCCCCACATCACCGTACACTGAAAAGATAGAGCTACTCTGACGTAAGTAACACTACTTGTTGCAGGTCACGATGACCACCAATGCAGGGGTGAGGAACGATAACCTATTGTACCCCAGAGATAAATTATGACCCACGTTACAGGGGACATACTTGATGACACGTGGTACAGGGGACAGACCTAATAATTCAGTATACAGGGGACAGACTTAAGCTGGGGACAGATATATTGATCATTATGCGGCTGACGGGTAGAATAAATCTAACAATCTAAATGCGGAACTAGGCTGGGGACAGACACAATTAGCAAAACAGGGAATATGCGATAAGGACACCATAGCACCGGACCACACAGGCATCGAACCAACTAGGTGACGTCACTGGGCATCAGCAAAATTTAGAATATGTCTGCAGACGGCACACGGTCTCTCTGACCCTTTAGTTAATGTGGCATGCTTTCATTATGATCATCTACCTCTGATTTAAACCATTTTCGGTAACCTTACCTAACCTGGCTTCCTTGTGGGTAAGTGCTGCATCGTACCCAATTTACATCTAAAACAAAGATATCCCCTTAAATGTCAACTAAGCTGCGATTGGCTCACTTGAAAACTGTTCTGGTTCAAATATTCACGCCCAAAGCTGGAATCACAACAACAAATTTGCAATTTTATCGCAGTCTCGGGCAACAGAGCAAGACCAGCGTCAGTCTTTCTGGACTGGTCATCCATTACCGCAGCTAGGAATGAAGAAACAGTCCCATTTGGCCCCTGACATTATCCCCGAGACAGCACAATTGGTCAGCCATGAACAGAAAACAGCATCTCCATACTTGCCGCCAACACTGCTCAATTATTTCCATTCTGAAGGTTTTACCGAAAGTGACTCTTTGAGACAACAATAACTGAGAACAAACGAACAAGACAACAGCATTAACGCAAGAGGTAGACAAGACAGGCCATCAACTCTCAGTCAATGGTTATCCCTTAGTGTAGAGATACCAAGCGATTCAAAGTAAACATTGGGACTTTCACCTTCGTTTTTTCCTTCTTTTTTTTTATTCCAACAGCTGGTTGTATACGAGAAACATACAAATCCCATCACCTCCTGCGACAAACAAAATCGTCCAGACATGTCGTTTCGCTCAGCAGCTTCAGCATACGATAAACACAATGATTCGGCCACCTTTAATGACTCATCAACATCCTCTTGTGACGGGGAGAACGCTAGCCTCTCTCTGGATTCAAATACTTATGTTGATGATTTCACTACACCACCACTAGACCAAAGAAAAAGACGATATAGAAGAGTGACGGGTCGGACAGCCACACCAATACCTGTTGAACCGATTGAACACACGTTGGGCCCGCTAAATCTCCACTTATATAAACAGAGGCCACAGTTAAAAGTGGCTCATTCTTATGTGAAGCATCACCAGGATAAACAGACAGCCATACCTACAAGAGCTAAGCCAGAGGTTGCCTACCTGAGTGAGTTCTACTCGCCAAACAGAGATCCCATCTCTCCTACAACGGCAATGCCACAACCTTCCTCCCTTAAAGACGAGTCTCTTAGTCGTCCAGAATCTTCACCCACGTCACTTTATTCGCTAGAAGATGTATCAGACGGTGACTGCCCTGGTACAGATTGTGAGGAAGAGTGCCACACATCACCGAACAAGGGAGCGTGTGGCAGTATCAAACCCCCGTGCTTAAAGTTAAGTGCAGAATTCAGGGATGAACCAAAGGGCCCTCTGAGAGCGCAGACAATCACTGACAAAGAGTTCTACCACTTCATCAACGGGAAGGAGATGGCTACCGTCATGTTCTACATCAAAGGCAGGACCTCTAAATCCAACATGCAAGTGTGGGACAGAGAGGCTAGAGAGGTACAGGCACTATGCATGTATGAGTGTTTGCTTCTGTTTGGGTTAGTCAGGGGGCTGCGTGGTCTCGAGATATGGTGTCCGCATCAAAAATTGTTTGACAGTATGTGTGTCTTCATATGTGTGGGTGGTCCGTATGTATGTGGGTCTAACTATGTGTTTGTTGGTATAAGGGCGCAATCGAGGTAACATGAAGTTACAACTGAGCAGAGGACCCAGACCGACCACAACCACCACCACCACCACTAACACCGACACCATCAGTGTTTAATGTAACGGTGATATTTGCGGCCGGGTTTACTGATGTTACATTAAATAATTGCATAGACAATAAAAGTTTACTTCTACTAGAGTTATATCCCTTTGAATATTTCCTCTTTTCCTACTAAATAATTAGGTTGAAAAATATATATATATATATTTCTCGGTATTATCTTCTTTGAAGCTTGGATTGCGCTTTCCCCCCCCCCCCCCCCCCCCCCTTTTCCAAGATCTAGCAGATACATATGCCTCATGTTAAACGGATGTGCACGTAAACTTTAAACCCTGGATCGCAAAGCCTTTTTTACTCTTTTTATACGAATACAAATTATACTTACTGCGTACTGTAACATGACTTGAAGGGTTTCAGCCCTCCGCCCTCGACTCCTTGATAATGCGTGATGCGGCTGAGCTTCTTAAAGGTTTTCTCTCGTCGGGGCCCACTACCGGGGTTACATAAGAACGAGTATTATCAATATTCTACGCAGCATCTTAAAAAGAACACATTGTGTGCCTGTTTTTTCAATACTGGTGTTTGCATCACATTAGGCTGGGGGAGGGGGTGGGAGGAGGGGTGGTGTTAGAGGCTTGGGTGTACTGCTGGGTACAAAGAACATTTACGGTAGCGGTCAAGACAAAGATAAAGTAGAAGACGGCTGAACAGAGTATTAGTTAGGCTGTTTTTGTTTTTTATACTCAATGCTGACAAAAGTATTTACAATTAGTGATCAGGCCTGTGATAGCTTACAATCGGAGGCGAAACGTTCCCAGAATGCAGCTACGTAGATTTGGTTCAAACAGTGAAGGCTACCCTTCTGTGTGACTGGGCGGGGCTGAGGCGAAAGAAGGGACAGTAATATTTTTCGATCACATTTAGGATTGGTGTGGGAGCGGTAGAAGCCGCTAGAAAGTCTCATAATAATGGGTGCCTTAACTCCCTATTCCTCTTCCCTCACCCTGTCCCCCACCCCCTGAAAGGCTAAATTGGTTGAGGCAGTATTAGCTTCGTCAGTCAGATTTAGTGGTAGTTCAAGAGGGTCTACGGGTTGGCAAGAGCCTCAGGTGCTGTTAAGGCAAGACTGAACTTATAGCAGCAGTAGAGACAAACGTGATAGAGGATTAGAGAATACTTCAACTATCCCGGGGGAGGCTGGGCAGGTAAACCTAGTCATATACGAGCGGGGTCTCTGTAACACTCAGGTGCCATCTATGTGTTCTATTCACAGGAAACCATTGACGGTGACCAGGCCTACGGCGTTGTTGACTGCGATGCTGAACCAGAGTTGTGTGTGCGTGAACACATTCCATCAGTCCCCTACTTCAAGAGATACTGCGGAGGTTACCCGGTCTATGCCGGGAAAAGATTCAAAATTTATCATAGTTAACCTAAACATATGTAACATCCGCAATCATCTGCCAAAATCAGTAACAATATGGAAACCAAGCTAAACAAAAAAACTAGGGAATCTCTTTTCGGTACACCAATACCAACCTGACTAGACTAAACGTATGGAATAACTCCGACTCACTTTTGCACACCAGTAACAACATAGGGAGTAATTAGATAGAACAACTTCTACTCACTTTTAGATATCTTTAAAAATGTGTAGGCTAACTGTTGCAGATATAAAAAAAAAAAAAAAATCAGTTCTGCACATCAGTCTACCTGAAGACTAAACTAAAAAGATAGAGCTACTCTAACTCAAGTGACACTAATGCAGCTTGTAGTCTGACGTCTTCAATAGCCGTAGCCTCCGATACTAAACATCATTACGAGAGCTGATTACCTCACGTTACCAACGGCCTCAGTAATAAACATGACAACTGATTACTTCAATACAAGAGACTGCTCTCAGGCTTTATTAAAAAGTTTCACATCAATCGACAATTAGTGACAACCAAACAATTAACTATACTTCTGCGATCGCATGCCAACAAATAGTCTCTTAGGTGTAGTAGAGGAAATTTCTGTTCTGACAACTCCGGAGTTTGGTGTCATCGGGCAACAAAGTACGGTGCAGCATTTAACCACAAGTAGAAAGTCAAGGAGCGAAACTAGCAGAAGCAGAAAGAATCGACAACAATTGCTAACCAAAACTTTAAGCAGGACTTCAATAAATTGTGTGCCTATACAGCGTGTTTCTTGTCTTAATGACGTTATGTCTCGTCTCTCTTGTCTTATTGACGTTATGTTTCGTGTCTCTTGTCTTATTGACGTTATGTCTCGTGTCTCTTGTCTTATTGACGTTATGTCTCGTCTCTCTTGTCTTATTGACGTTATGTCTCGTGTTTCTTGTCTTATTGACGTTATGTCTCGTGTCTCTTGTCTTATTGACGTTATGTCTCGTGTCTCTTGTCTTATTGACGTTATGTCTCGTGTCTCTAGTTTTGTGCGAGGACACTGGAGGGTTTCGTATGGTAGATGCCTGGAGACAAGAACAAACTATTATGGGGTGAATAGGGGTAGGGACAGAGGGCGGGTTCCACTTATAACTTTCGAGCGGCGTCGCCCTTAAAGACCTATAATGATAAATGGCACATGTATACAGAATACTGGAGGCAGGATCCGACGACCACCAGTGCAGTGGTGGGGAACGATAACCTATGGTAGCCCGGAAAGAAATTCTGACACACTATGAGGGCACAGACTTGATGACACATAGTAGAGGTGACAGAAATAAAGACCCACGCAACAGGTAATAGACATGATGTCCCTCGCTACAGAGAACCCATACGATGATCCACAGTACAGGCGATGACCCATGGTATAGGGGGTAGACCTAATAATTCATTGTACAGGGGACAGACTTAAGCTGGGGACATATATATTTATCTATATGGTGGGAACAAATCTAACGATCTGAACGCGGCATTAGGCTGGGGACAGATATGACAATCTAAATGGAGCGGTAGCTTAGAGACAGATATGACAATCTATATAGAGCGGTAGGCTGGGGACAGATATGACAATCTATATAGAGCGGTAGCCTGGGGACAGATATGACAATCTATATAGAGCGGTAGCTTAGGGACAGATATGACAATCTATATAGAGTGGTAGCTTAGGGACAGATATGACAATCTATATAGAGCGGTAGCTTAGGGACAGACATGACAATCTAAATGGAGCGGTAGCCTGGGGACAGATAAGACACTCTATATAGAGCGGTAGCCTGGGGACAGATATGACAATCTATATAGAGTGGTAGCTTGGGGACAGATATGACAATCTAAATGGAGCGGTAGCCTGGGGACAGATATGACAATCTATATAGAGCGGTAGCCTGGGGACAGATATGACACTCTATATAGAGCGGTAGCCTGGGGACAGATATGACAATCTATATAGTGCGGTAGCCTGGGGACAGATATGACACTCTATATAGAGCGGTAGCCTGGGGACAGATATGACACTCTATATAGAGCGGTAGGCTGGGGACAGATATGACAATCTATATAGAGCGGTAGCTTAGGGACAGATATGACAATCTATATAAAGCGGTAGCCTGGGGACAGACATGACAATCTGTATAGAGCGGTAGCTTAGGGACAGATATGACAATCTGTATAGAGCGGTAGCCTGGGGACAGATATGACAATCTATATAGAGCGGTAGCCTGGGGACAGACATGACAATCTATATAGAGCGGTAGCCTGGGGACAGATATGACAATCTATATAGAGCAGTACGCTGGGGACAGATATGACAATTCTATATAGAGCGGTAGCCTGGGGACAGATATGACAATCTATATAGAGCGGTAACCTGGGGACACATATGACAATCTAAATGGAGCGGTAGCATGGGGACAGATATGACAATCTATATAGAGCGGTAGCCTGGGGACAGATATGACACTCTATATAGAGCGGTAGCCTGGGGACAGATATGACATTCTATATAGAGCGGTAGGCTAGGGACAGATATGACAATCTATATAGAGCGGTAGCTTAAGGACAGATATGACAATCTGTATAGAGCGGTAACTTAGGGACAGATATGACAATCTATATAGAGCGGTAGCCTGGGGACAGATATGACACTCTATATAGAGCGGTAGCCTGGGGACAGATATGACACTCTATATAGAGCGGTAGGCTGTGGACAGATATGACACTCTATATAGAGCGGTAGCCTGGGCACACATATGACAATCTATATAGAGCGGTAGGCTGGGGACAGATATGACAATCTATATAGAGCGGTAGCTTAGGGACAGATATGACAATCTATATAGAGCGGTAGCCTGGGGACAGATATGACACTTTATATTGAGCGGTAGCCTGGGCACACATATGACAATCTATATAGAGCGGTAGGCTGGGGACAGATATGACAATCTATATAGAGCGGTAGCCTGGGGACAGACATGACAATCTATATAGAACGGTAGCCTGGGGAAAGATATGACAATCTATATAGAGCGGTAGCCTGGGGACAGATATGACAATCTAAATGGAGCGGTAGCATGGGGACAGATATGACAATCTATATAGAGCGGTAGCCTAGGGACAGATATGACAATCTATATAGAGCGGTAGCCTAGGGACAGATATGACAATCTATATAGAGCGGTAGCCTAGGGACAGATATGACAATCTAAATAGAGCGGTAGCCTGGGGACAATCTATATAGAGCTATAGGCTAGGGACAGATATGACAATCTATATATAGCAGGGGACAGATTTGACAATCTATATAGAGCGATAGCATGGGGACAGCTATGACAATCTATATAGAGCTATAGGCTAGGGACAGACACAATCAGCAAAAAGGGGATATCCGATGAAGACACAATAGCACCGGACCACACCCGCATCGCACCAACTAGGTGACGTCACTAGGCGTCATCAAAACGCAGAAAATGTCTGCAGACGGCACACGGTCTCTCTGACCCTTTAGTTAATGTGGCATGCTTTCATTATGATCATCTACCTCTGATTTAAACTATTTGCTGTAACCTTACATAAACTGGCTTTCCTGTGAGTAAGTGCTGCATTGTACTCAAATTGCTTCTAAAACAAGGATATTCCCTAAAGGTCAACTCAGCTACGATTGGCTCACTTCTAAACGGTTCTAGTTCAAACATTCGCGGCTATTGTGGGTACACAGTTGGAATCACAACAACAAATACGCAGGTTTATCGCAACAGAGCAAGACCAGTGTCAGTCTTACGAAACAGGTCATTCATCTCTGCCGCTAGCATTGAAGAGACAGTCCCATCTGGCCCCTGACATTATCCCCGAGACAGCACAGTTTGTCAGCCCTGCACAGAAAACAGCATCTCCATACTTGCCACCAACACTGCTCAATTATTTCCATTCCGAAGGACATACCGAAAGTGACTCTTTGAGACAACAATTACAGAGAACAAACGAACAAGGCAACAACATGAACGCAAGAGGTAGACAAGACACGCCATCAACTCTCAGTCAATGGTCATCCCTTAGTGAAGAGATACCAAGCTATTCAAAGTTAACATTGGGACTTTCACCTTCGATTTTTTCTTCTTTTTTATTCCCACAGCAGGTTGGATTTGGGGATATATTCAGAGACTACGATTCCTTGGAACGCGAATCAACACCCTCATGTCCCAGGAAGAAGACTCGCGTACCTCTGGATTTATATACTCATGCTGATAATTTCACTACACCACCATTAAACCAAAGAGGATGTCGATTTCTAAATTTAAATCGTACCCCAGCGACAGCACCTCCTGTTAAACCAATTGAGCCCCCGGTGAAACCGCTACAGCTGGGCAGATACAAACAGAAGCCAATTGAGCCCCCGGTGAAACCGCTAGAGCTGGACAGATACAAACAGAAGCCACAGGTACATGTAGATTATCATAATATCAAACATAATCTCAAGTATGAAAATGAAGCTATAGCGTCACGAGCCAGGCAAGAGGCTGCCCGAAAGAGTGACCCAGTTTACAGTTCTCCTACAACGCCTTCCTCTTCACCCAAGTCACTTTATTCAGGCAGTGACCGTCCTGGTTTGGCTAGTGAGGAAGACTCCACTGAACCCTATATGGGAGAGTTTGGAGGTATCAAACCCCCATGCTTCAAGTTAGCTGCAGAGTTCAGCGATGAACCAAAGTATCCTTTGAGATCGCGGAAGATAACTGGGGATGAGTTCTACCACTTCATCAACGGGGAGGCGATTTCTGCTGTCATGTTCTACATCAAAGGCCATAAATCTGAAGACAACATGAAAGCGTGGGAAGCAAATGCTGAAAAGGTACAGGCACTATAAGTGTATGCTTTTGTTCGTTTTAGTCAGGGGGTCATGCGTGGTCTTGGAATATGGTATCCGCCTCGAATACTGTTTGACAGTATGTGTGTCTGCATCGGTGTAGGTGGTCGGCGTGTTTGCGTAATGTGTGGGTCTAACGTTGGTATAAGGGCGCAGTCGCGGCCTCGTGAAGTTACAACTGAGCAGAGGTCTCAGACCAACCACAAGCACTATCAATCTTTATTCTTCTTTTTCTTCTTCTTTCTTCTTCTTTTTCTTCTTCTTCTTCTTCTTCTTCTTCTTCTTCTTCTTCTTCTTCTTCTTCTTCTTCTTCTTCTTCTTCTTCTTCTTCTTCTTCTTCTTCTTCTTCTTTTTCTTCTTCTTCTTTTTCACAAGGCGTGTATGATATGTATGTTTGCGCGCGCGCGTGTGTATATGGGTGTATGTATGTATATGGGTGTATGTATGCACGCGCGGGTTTTTGCATGGACTTTACAACTCATGCTTTTGTGTTCTTTCATAATATTCTTAATATGCATATCATCATGTGATCCTTATATGCTTTATTAGTAAAAGACAACTGTTGTGCGAAAGATGGTTGACTGGAAGGGCCGAATGTAAGACGGGTCTGCGTGCCCAATTTGTGACTCTTTAAAAATAAAGTTCGTTCGTTCTTCTTCTTCTTCTTCTTCTGCGTTTTCTCCTTTTTCTTCTTTTTGTTCCTCTTTTTCTTCTGTCTTCTTCTTCTTCTTCTTCTTCTTCTTCTTCTTCTTCTGCGTTTTGTTCTTCTTCTTCTACTTGTTCCTCTTTCTCTTCTTCTTCTTCTTCTTCTTCTTCTTCTTCTTCTTCTTCTTCTTCTTCTTCTTCTTCTTCTTCTTCTTCTTCTTCTTCTTCTTCTTCTTCTTCTTGATATTGGCCTCCAGGTTTATTGATATTACATTTAATTAATGGCATAGTATATAAAAGTTTACTTCTACTAGAGTTATATCCCTTCGAATATTTCTTCTCTTCCTACTCTAAAAAAATTGAGTTTAAAGTATGTATATTTCTCGGTGTTATCTTCTTTGAAACATGGCGTGTGGTTTTTTTTTTTTTTTTTTTTTTAAGATCTAGCAGATATATATGCCTGCTGTTAAACGGATGTGCACGTAAACCTCAAGCTCTAGATCGAGAAGCCTTTTTCACTTGGTAAAAACCGATAAAAATTATACTTATTGCGTACTCTAACAGGACTTAGAAGATTTCGTCCATCCGCCCCCGACTCCTTGATAATGCATGATGCGGTTTAGCTTCTTCGGTGTTTTCTGTCGTCTGCGCCCACTACCGGGGTTACGTAAAAACGATTACCATACATTTTCTATGTAATGTCTTAAAAAAAAAACACATTTTCAGCCATTTTGTTCAGTCCTGCTGTTTGCATTACTATAGGTTAGGAGGGCGGGGTGTTGGGAGTGCAGCAAAGCCGATTGAAAAACGGGGGTGGTGTTACAACTGTGGGTGTACTAAAGGGTAGAGATAAAATTTAATGTAGCTGGGAAGTCAAAGATGAAGTAGAGGACGGGTGAGCAGAGTAAGAGTTAGACGGTATTTTTGAACACAAATGCTGACAATAGTATGTGCACATGGGTATCGGGCCTGTGATAGCTTACAATCCGAGGCAAACCTTTCCAGAATGCAGGTACTCAGATTTGGTTCAAATAGTGAGGGCTACCCTCCTGTTGGGGAAATGCTGGGCGGGGGGGGGGGGGGGGGAGCGATAGAAGCCGCTAGCAAGCTTCCTCACAATGCGTGCTACAGCTTCTAATACCCTCACCCCCTTTCCAGCCGAAAGGCTGAAATAGTTGAGGGGGTATTAGCTTCGTCGGTCAGATTTAGGGGTGGTTCCAGGGTCTAGGGGCAGCAAAAAGTCTCAGGTGCATATAAGACAATGAACACAATGATAGCAGCAGTAGAGACAAACGTGATATAGAGGACGGGAGAATACTTCAACTATCCCGGGCGAGGCTGGGCAAGTAAGTCTAGTGAGATACGAGCGGGGTCTCTGTAACACTCAGGTGTCATCTATGTTCTATTCACAGGAATCCCTCGATGGTGAACGGGCCTTCGCCACTGTTGACTGCGCCGAAGTACCATATTTGTGTTTACGTGAGCACATTCCTTCAGTTCCCTTCTTCAAGGTATACAGCGAAGGGCACCAGATCTATTCCGGGCCACGTATGAAAGTAGGAATAAATGAAGTGGTAACACATTAGTTAACCTAAACAGATGTAACATCCGCAATCGTCTGCCCACATCAGTAATAATATGGAAACCAAGCTAAACAGATGAAACTAGGGAATCTCATTTCAGTACACCAATAAAAAGCTGGAGACCAGACTAAACGTATGGAATAACTCCGACTCACTTTTGCACACCAATAACAACATAAAGAGTAAATAGAGCAACTTCTTCTCACTTTCACGTATCTGTAACAATTTGTAGGCTAACTGTTGCAGATAGAAAAAAAAAATCAGTTCTGCACATCAGTAACTACCTAAAGAATAAACTAAAAAGATAGAGCTACTCTAACTCAAGTGACACTAATGCAGCTTTTAGCCTGAAATCTTCAACAGCCGTAGCCTCCAAAACTAAACATCACTACGACAGCTGATTACCGCACGTTATCAACTGCCTCAGTACTAAACATTACAGCTGATGACGTAAACACAAGTGACTGCTGTCAGGCTTATATTAAGAAGCTACACATCAATAGACAATTTGTGACAACTAAACAACTAACTATACTTCTGCGATCGCATGCCAAAAAAACAGACTCTTAGGGGTGGTAGAGGAAATTTCTGTTCTGACAACTCCGGAGTGAGAGTCATCAGGCAACAAAGTACGGTGCAGCATTTAACCACAAGTAGAAAGCCAAGTTGTGAAACTAGCAGAAGCAGAAAAAATCGACAAGAGTTGCTAACCAAAACCTTGAGCAGGAATTCAATAAATGGTGTGCCAAAACAGCGTGTTTCTTGTCTTACTAACGTTTTGTCTCGTGTCTCTTGCTCTGTGCTGGGCCATTGGAGGGTTTTGTGTGGTTGGGGCCTAAAGACAAGAACAAACGATTATAGGGGATTGGGGGGGGGGGAGGTTAGGTGGATGATAGTAGGGGCAGAAGGCGGGTTTCACTTATAACTATCGACATATAATGATCAATGGAACATGTATACAGAAGGCTGAAGGCAGGTCACGACGACCACTAGTGCAGGGGTGAGGAACAATAACTTATGGTACCCCGAGAGAAATTATGACACACGTTACAGGTGACATATGAGGACTCACGGTACAGGTGACAGGTATGATGACCCACGGTACAGGTGACCTATGAGGACCCACAGTACAGGTGACATATGAGGACCCACGGTACAGGTGACATATGAGGACCCACAGTACAGGTGACATATGAGGACCCACGGTACAGGTGACAGGTATAATGACCCACGGTACAGGTGACATATGAGGACCCACGGTACAGATGACAGGTATGATGACGAACGATACAGGTGACATATGATGACCCACGGTACAGGTGGCAGATATGATGACCAACGGTACAGGTGACAGATATGAAGACCCACGGTACAGGTGAAAGTTATGAGGACCCACAGTACAGGTGACATATGAGGACCCACGGTACTGGTGACATATGAGGACCCACGGTACAGGTGACATATGAGGACCCACGATACAGGTGACATATGAGGACCCACGGTACAGGTGACAGGTATGATGACCCACGGTACAGGTGACATATGAGGACCCACGGTACAGGTGACAGATATGATGACCCACGGTACAGGTGACATATGAGGACCCACGGTACAGGTGACAGATATGAGGACCCACGGTACAGGTGACAGATTTGAGGACCCACGGTACAGATGACAGGTATGATGACGAACGGTACAGGTGACATATGATGACCCACGGTACAGGTGGCAGATATGATGACCAACGGTACAGGTGACAGATATGAAGACCCACGGTACAGGTGAAAGATATGAGGACCCACGGTACAGGTGACAGATATGAGGACCCACGGGACAGGGCCAGACTTAATAATTTATTGTACAGGTGACATATGAGGACCCACGGTACAGGTGACATATGAGGACCCACGGTACAGGAGACAGATATGATGACCCACGGGACAGAGGACAGACTTAATAATTTATTATACAGGGGACATTTATTAAGACCCACGGTACAGGCGACTGATATGATGACCCACGGTACAGGGGACAGACTTATTAATTTAATGTACAGGGGACAGATATGAAGACCCACGGTACAGGCGATTGATATAATGACCCACGATACAGGAGTCAGACTTATTAATTTATGGTACAGGGGACAGACTTATTAATTTATGGTACAGGGGAAAGACTTATTAATTTATGGTACAGGGGACAGACTTGAGCTGGGGAAAAAGATGACAATCTATGTAGAGCGGCAGGCTTGTGAGATATATGACAATCTATATAGAGCTGTAGGCTGGTGACAGATATGACACTATATATAGAGCTGTAGGCTATGGACAGATATGACACTCTATATAGAGGTATAGGCTGGGGACAGATATGACACTCTATTTAGAGCTGTAGTTGTAGGCTGGTGACAGATATGACTATCTATATAGAGCTGTAGGCTGGTGACAAATATGACAATCTTTATAGAGCTGTAGGCTGGGGACAGATATGACAATCTATATAGAGCTGTAGGCTGGTGACAGATATGACACTATAGAGAGCTGTAGGCTGGTGACAGATATGACACTCTATGTAGAGTTGTAGGCTGGTGACAGATATGACAATCTATATAGAGCAGTAGGCTGGTGACAGATATGACTATCTATATAGAGCTGTAGGCTGGTGACAGACATGACAATCTATATAGAGCTGTAGGCTAGTGACAGATATGACGATATGTATCGAGCTGTAGGCTGGTGACAGATATGACGATCTATGTAGAGCTGTAGGCTGGTGACAGATATGCCAATCTATATAGAGCTGTAGGCTGGGGACAAAAATGACAATCTATATAGTGCTGTAGGCTGGTGACAGATATGACGATCTATATAGAGCTGTAGGCTGGTGACAGATATGACAATCTTTTAGAGCGGTAAGTTGAAGACAGATAAAACAATCTTCTAGAGGGGTAGGCTGGGGACAGATATGACAATCTATATAGTGCGGTAGGCTGGGGACAGATATGACAATCTATATAGAGCGGGGGACAGATATGACTATCTATATAGAGCGGCGGACAGATATGACAATCTATATAGAGCGGGGGACAGATATGACAATCAATACAGAGCGGTAGGCGGGGGACAGATAAGACAATCTATATAGAGCGGGGGATAGATATGACAATCTATATAGAGCGGGGGGCAGATATGACAATCTATATTCAGCGGGGGACAGATATGACTATCTATATAGAGCGGCGGACAGATATGACAATCTATATAGAGCGGTAGGCTGGGGACAGATATGACAATATAAATAGAGCGGTAGGCTGGGGACAGATATGAAACTCTATATAGAGCGGTAGGCTGGGGACAGATATGACAATCTGTGGCACAGTCGTGCCTATACACCCCCCAAGAAATAGATGTGCCTAGTTCTGCCAAGGGTTAATGAATATAGTTCGTAGCTCTCTTCAATCGTAATCAAGAACAAGGCCATTGATGAAATCAATTACACAAGAGCTGGTTTATTTACAATATTCTCGTCACACAGGCTTCATAAATTCAATAAGCAATAGTATATGAACACTTTATTATCTGGATACAGGCTATTCGTATGACTCTCTACGAGTTCCTTAACCACTGTTCTAGCTAAATTCCAAGTTTAACATATACCTTCTAAACGAAGTAAAGCACTAGTTTTCTCCTAACCGGTCTTTCCAGCGGTTCAGCCCTAACCTGTCCTATCAAGCAGTTCCGTGGCTAACTAACTTCTCAAGCCCCTGGCTCTGACTTTTTTCTCCCTCTTTCCCGCTCTTTCTGGCGTACCTTATCCATCACTCCCCTGTCACCTGTCTTTGGTGGTCACGTTTGGATAAACGTATCTCTTCAGCTAGTCACAGTGCATGTGCTTGCTCACGGGCACTCGTCGAATGTTTCATCCCTCACTGTCAGATGTCATGGCGGTTATCGTGTAGATGTTCTGCATAGCTGGCTAGGTCGTGGCTTTCTAATCGCCCATTTCTGTCATTTCACACACTGATGGATTAGTACGCCGTGTGGTGGTCTGAAATGTATATTCATTTAATCCTTTCTGCCTATATTTCATTAGAAATCTATATAGAGCGGTAGGCTGGGGAAAGATATGACGATCTCTATAGAGCGGTAGCCTGGGGACAGATATGACAATCTAAATAGAGCGGTAGGCTGGGTACAGATATGACAATCTATATAGAGCGGTAGGCTGGGGACAGATTAGACAATCTATATAGAGCGGTAGGCTGGGGACAGATATGACACTCTATATAGAGCAGTAGGCTGAGGACAGATATGACAATCTATATAGAGCGGTAGCCTGGGGACAGATATGACAATCTATATAGAGGGGTAGCCTGGAGACAGATATGACAATCTATATAGAGCGGTAGGCTGGGGACAGATATGACACACTATATAGAGCGGTAGCCTGGGGACACATATGACAATCTATAAAGAGCGCAAGGCTGGGGACAGATATGACAATCTATATAGAGCGGTAGGCTGGGGACAGATATGACGATCTCTATAGAGCGGTAGCCTGGGGACAGATATGACAATCTATATAGAGTGGTAGGCTGGGGACAGATATGACAATCTATATAGAGCGGGGGACAGATATGACTATCTATATAATGCGGCGGACATATATGACAATCTATATAGAGCGGGGGACAGATATGACAATCAATATAGAGCGGTAGGCGGGGGACAGATAAGACAATCTATATAGAGCGGGGGACAGATATGACAATCTATATAGAGCGGGGGACAGATATGACAATCTATATTGAGCGGGGGACAGATATGACTATCTATATAGTGCGGCGAACAGATATGACAATCTATATAGAGCGGGGGACAGATATGAACAATCTATATAGAGCGGGGGACAGATATGACAATCTATATAGAGCGGGGGACAGATATGACAATCTATATAGAGCGGCGGACAGATATGACAATCTATATAGAGCGGGGGACAGA